CATATATTTTTAGCTGTCCAGTTAATTTCTTTCCATTTTTTGGTAGAGACGGGGTCTCGCTCTTGCTCAGGCTGGTCTCGAACTCCTGAGCTCAGAACGATCCGCCCGCCTCAGCCTCCCAGAGTGCTAGGATTACAGGCGTGAGCCACCGCGCCCGGCCTGGAATAATTTTTAAACAGTGATTATTTGTTACAAGTAATAGGTTGATTGTGAAGAAAGTACAATTATTTTCATGAAATAATATGGAAAGAAGGCATAAATGACAGATTTCTAATTTTAGAGAAGCATTATGCTGACATTTGGCCTATTTAAAATGCTATTATAGCATTTTTATCAATTCTTAGAACTTTATCAGGCGCCAAAGCATGTTTAAGTTTCTTTAAAGTAAATAGCTAAACTGAACCAGGACTAAATTATAACTTCTTTTTTTACATTTGAAACTAAATTCTAATTTTGGTATTTTTACTATGCTTAAATCAGATATGGTACAAATTCATAATAAATCAAATGCAAAAGTACAATCTAGAAAAACGCAGAATAACTTGAAGTCATGTACCAGTAGACATTTATCTGTATGCTGCTGGGGGTTATAGGCTTATGATCCAAAGTTAATAAACTTCGTTTCATTAAAAATAAAATAATTAAAAATACCTTTAATGAATTTAAAATCATGTTAATACCTGTATTTACAAGGGAATCCAGTTTGTCTGACTCTGAGGCCCACATTTTCTCTCATTGTTGGGACAGGTCTGTTTTGAGGCATGAAGAAGCCTAGGTAAGGTGCTCCAGTGAGGGCTTTCAGGACCTGCTCCCCAGCCACGTAAGCCAGATGTGGACGAAGGCTCTATAGATGCCATAGCATATTTCTGCAGTTTTTCATTTTTGCCTGTGTTCTGGTTGGCAGCATTAGCATTACCACAATGCTTTGCCGTCATTGCCATGCTGTGGCATTGCTTTGTGCACTACATAAATATGAATCAGGAAATCGCGAGAGCCAAAAACTTGGTGACAGTATGTAAGATATTTACGAATCACTATAACTCAATTGCGTGGGACAGAGGGTCCAGTTTCATGTTTTTATAATAAATCTCCAGTTTAAATGTTACAAATTACTTCATACTGTTGTTTATAGTTGAGCCGAATGTAAAGGGTTTTTATTATAGTCAAATGGAAGTGAAACCTAGATGAAATAGTTCTTTTTCTTTCCAAAAAATGCTTATCATTTGATGGCTGCTAAGTTTTCACTAACCATAAATTGAGAAAAATGCAATTTTTTTTTAAATTTGTTGTCATATTAATTGCCTTTATGTTTCTTTTAGGAAGATGATTCTCCCAGTGAAGGACAAGTGATTAGGATGCCCCATAAAAAATCTCATGCAGATGCAATTCTTTCTCTTCTTGCTAAACAAAACCAGGAATCTTTAATTTTACAGCAAGCAGTCTATCATTCAGAGGTACTGTTTAACCTTAATGATTTTTTTTGGTTAGACATAAATACAGAAAAAAGTTAAAATCTTCCTACTTTTAGTTAAAGTATGTAAATATTTCACTTACTCAGGAGTCAGAGTTGTAGCACCTTTAACCTGGAATCATAGATAACTGTAGTCTTACAACTGAAAGGAATTTAGACCATTTATTCCAAGCCTCTTATTCTACAGTTGAAAAAACTGAGGCCTTGTGAAGATCATTCATTCATTCTGCAGCCATGTATTATATGCCAGATGCAATCTTGGAAAAGACAGAAAGCTGAATGAGACATGATCTCTACCTTTAAGCAGCTTACTGTCATGTCAGAGGACAGGGTTTAAACAAGTAATTACTCAACAGTGCAGTAACTGAGCAAATAGGTATATTCAGAAGTGCTGCATGAACACAGAGGAGGGAAGATTCTGCTTAAAGTAGGATGACACTTCATATAGGATATTGTATTGATCTAGGTCTTTAAAGTCTGAGTAGGACTTTGTAGGCAGTGATGAAAGGGAAGGATACATTAGAAGCAGAAATAGCATATACTGTGGTCCCCAAACCCCAGTACTGGTCCATGGCCAGTCAGGCTGAAGAGCTCTCCTGTGCAATTCCATGACATTTAGGAAGGGGTAGGTGGCACACACAGCAGGAGGTGAGCTGCTCCCTTCCCCATCACTCACATCACCTACTGAACTCTGCCCGCCCACCCCCTCCATTGTGAAAAAATTGTCTTCCATGAGACTGGTCCCTGGTGCCAGAAAGGTTATAAGGGATAAGAGCCAAGAAATATCAGGCCATATTTAGAAAGTATTGAAAATATCAGTGTGGCTAGAACTTTAGATAACCTGTCAGGTAAGTCTGGAGAAGTAGATTGAACCAGATGATCATAAAGAAACTTTTATTTGGGCCACAGTGAGGCGTGGGCACTGTGGAGCCCAAGAAGGTTTGGGGGCAAGGGAATTACCCACTAAGATATTTAGGAAGGATTAAGAAGCCATGACAAGTGAGGGAAAGATGAGAGATCTGTCAGAACACCATTTGTGTAGTCCCAGCAAGAGAGAATGAGAACATAATGAAGACAGTTACAGCAGAAGTAGAGAGGAGAGAGATCTAAATATAAGGGCATAGGATTGAGAGTAGTTGGTCATTGGTGGAGGGAGGTTAGGAAGAAAAGTTTTTTAAGGAAAATCTTGAGATTTCTTGAGGAGTTTGAGTTGCAGTGGGCTACGATGATGCCACTGCATTCCAGCTGGGGTTACAGAGCAAGACTCTGTCTCAAGA